GGTCTGCGCGGGACGAATTGGAGAAGGAGCGAGGAGAAACTGTCCGAAGTGAGCCACACCGTGCACAACGACTTGCCGACAGAAGGCGAATGCGAACAAGCGCCGAACAAGATTCGTTCTCCGAGCCAAGCAGCGTATTCGATCGACGAGCTGCGAGCTCATCTTGGGCGGTCTGCATCTTGGCCGGTCTGCGCGGGACGAATTGGAGAAGGAGCGAGGAGAAACCGTCCGAAGTGAGCCACACCGTGCACAACGACTTGCCGACAGAAGGCGAATGCGAACAAGCGCCGAACAAGATTCGTTCTCCGAGCCAAGCAGCGTATTCGATCGACGAGCTGCGAGCTCATCTTGGCCGATCTGCATCTTGGGCGGTCTGCATCTTGGGCGGTCTGCGCGGGACGAATTGGAGAAGGAGCGAGGAGAAACTGTCCGAAGTGAGCCACACCGTGCACAACGACTTGCCGACAGAAGGCGAATGCGAACAAGCGCCGAACAAGATTCGTTCTCCGAGACAGGCAGCGTATTCGATCGACGAGCTGCGAGCTCATCTTGGGCGGTCTGCATCTTGGGCGGTCTGCGCGGGACGAATTGGAGAAGGAGCGAGGAGAAACTGTCCGAAGTGAGCCACACCGTGCACAACGACTTGCCGACAGAAGGCGAATGCGAACAAGCGCCGAACAAGATTCGTTCTCCGAGCCAAGCAGCGTATTCGATCGACGAGCTGCGAGCTCATCTTGGGCGGTCTGCATCTTGGCCGGTCTGCGCGGGACGAATTGGAGAAGGAGCGAGGAGAAACCGTCCGAAGTGAGCCACACCGTGCACAACGACTTGCCGACAGAAGGCGAATGCGAAGAAGCGCCGAACAAGATTCGTTCTCCGAGCCAGGCAGCGTATTCGATCGACGAGCTGCGAGCTCATCTTGGCCGATCTGCATCTTGGGCGGTCTGCATCTTGGGCGGTCTGCGCGGGACGAATTGGAGAAGGAGCGAGGAGAAACTGTCCGAAGTGAGCCACACCGTGCACAACGACTTGCCGACAGAAGGCGAATGCGAACAAGCGCCGAACAAGATTCGTTCTCCGAGCCAAGCAGCGTATTCGATCGACGAGCTGCGAGCTCATCTTGGGCGGTCTGCATCTTGGCCGGTCTGCGCGGGACGAATTGGAGAAGGAGCGAGGAGAAACCGTCCGAAGTGAGCCACACCGTGCACAACGACTTGCCGACAGAAGGCGAATGCGAACAAGCGCCGAACAAGATTCGTTCTCCGAGCCAGGCAGCGTATTCGATCGACGAGCTGCGAGCTCATCTTGGGCGGTCTGCATCTTGGGCGGTCTGCGCGGGACGAATTGGAGAAGGAGCGAGGAGAAACCGTCCGAAGTGAGCCACACCGTGCACAACGACTTGCCGACAGAAGGCGAATGCGAACAAGCGCCGAACAAGATTCGTTCTCCGAGCCAGGCAGCGTATTCGATCGACGAGCTGCGAGCTCATCTTGGCCGATCTGCATCTTGGGCGGTCTGCATCTTGGGCGGTCTGCGCGGGACGAATTGGAGAAGGAGCGAGGAGAAACTGTCCGAAGTGAGCCACACCGTGCACAACGACTTGCCGACAGAAGGCGAATGCGAACAAGCGCCGAACAAGATTCGTTCTCCGAGCCAGGCAGCGTATTCGATCGACGAGCTGCGAGCTCATCTTGGGCGGTCTGCATCTTGGCCGGTCTGCGCGGGACGAATTGGAGAAGGAGCGAGGAGAAACGGTCCGAAGTGAGCCACACCGTGCACAACGACTTGCCGACAGAAGGCGAATGCGAAGAAGCGCCGAACAAGATTCGTTCTCCGAGCCAGGCAGCGTATTCGATCGACGAGCTGCGAGCTCATCTTGGCCGATCTGCATCTTGGGCGGTCTGCATCTTGGGCGGTCTGCGCGGGACGAATTGGAGAAGGAGCGAGGAGAAACTGTCCGAAGTGAGCCACACCGTGCACAACGACTTGCCGACAGAAGGCGAATGCGAACAAGCGCCGAACAAGATTCGTTCTCCGAGCCAAGCAGCGTATTCGATCGACGAGCTGCGAGCTCATCTTGGGCGGT